TCCCCTCCCTCCCGCCTGCCCCCCACTCCCTCTGCCTCCCTCCCCCCTTCAGCTGCCGGTCCAGGGGCAAGGCCTCCTCTCAGGGGCAAGGCCTCTCAAGGCCCCTGTGACCCCAGCTCCAGGCCCAGCCGTGCTGGGGTGCTGAGGGTGAACCCCATCGGGGTTTGAGGCCGGAAGCGGCTGCCTGGGAGGGGAGTTGGGCGTGCAGGTGCCTTGCTGCCCGAGAGGGAGGGTGCCCACCGCACCCCTGAGGGCACTGCCTCCCTCCCCACCCCCGTACCTCAAAGAAGAAGCGCAGCATGAGGGCCAGCGCCCCGAAGCAGAGGCCGGGGCCTATCTGCTGGGTGTAGACACTCTTGTCGGGGTACAGCCCCCTCTTCTCCTTCATCTGCTGCAGCTGCAGGGAAGGGGCTCTCAGGGCACAGGCCGGTCCCCCCGGGCAGCAGGTGGGGCTGCAGGGCCAGGAAGACGCGGCCGTGGGGGCCGCGGGACACGGCGCCAGCAGGACCCCACTCTGCCTTCCCCTCTGGGCCTGGAAAGGCCACGCCTCCAGCGCCCCCACCCGCCAGCGCGGCGTCCCAGGAGCCTTGACGGGGTGATGCTTTACAGCAGGGCGCAGCGAGTGGGCCCCCGGCTCCAGGCTGTGGGCAGCAGGCTTGCGGGAAGGCTGCCAGACCAGCCTGCTTGGCGCGAGGCCCTGGCCCCGCAGACGCGGACGCTAGTGGGGCGCTCGGGCGGGGTGGGGGTGCTCACAAAGATGACTCAGAACCCGCGGAGGTGAGGTTAAGGGGGGCCCGCACCTGGAAAATGCCCCCTGGGGCAAGGGGCTTAGGGTGGCAGCAAGAAAATGGTGGCGGCTCTGGTGAGTAGGGGCAGCACCCCAACTGCCTGTGACCCCCCGAGTGGAGGGAGAAAACACCTCATGCACCCACACCTGCAGGCCCACGCAACCCACGCACACCCACGCACCCACGCACACCCATGCACCCACGCACACCCACGCACCCACGCACACCTGCAGCCCCACGCACCCACGCACACCCACGCACCCACGCACACCGACCCACACCCACCCACACCTGCACACCCACGCACATCTGCACACCTGCATGCAACCCACCCACACCTGCACACCCACGCACATCTGCACACCTGCACGCAACCCACCCACACCTGCAC